ACCCAGTGGATGGGACTCTCAGCTCAGGGATCTGCAGGGAGTCAGAAGATGGCTCTAATTCAGACCTTTAGAGTTACAGAACATTGAGGACAGATGACCTTCGACTTTCTATTATTAATGTAACTCAACGGGCTCAGCCAACACAGAAAGGTGTAACACCTTACACAGATGGATGGAGGGATAAATGGACAGATAGATAAATGGATGGAGACGTTGATGAATGCGTAGATAGATAAATGGATGGATAGATGGATAGATGGGTTGATGGGGTGGGTTGATGGATGAATGGGTGGATTGATGGATAGATGGGTGGGCAAATGGATAGGTGGTGTGAATAGATGGATGAATGAATAAATAGATGGGTGGGTGGTCAGATGGATAGATGGTTAGATAAAAAAAATAAATGAAGCTGGACATTGGTGGTGCATGCCTTTAATCCCAGCACTTGGGAGGCAGAGGCAGGCAGATCTCTGTGAGTTCGAGGCCAGCCTGATCTACAGAGCAAGTTCCAGGACAGGCTCCAAAGCCACAGGGAAACCCTGTCTCAAAAAAACAAAAAACAAAAAATATGATCCAAACTCTCAGTACTCAGGTTATGGTTAAAATGGAGACATTGGAATGACATCATGGGTAGATCTCAAGTAAAAATAAAAACACCTGGCTCAGAACCCAAGCTGCCAGCATGAGTTTACCCACTGTCTCCCGCACAAGAATACATGTTTCATGACAGCAGATCTCTCTCCAGCTTGCTCTCCATTTATAAGGCCCAGAAAATACTAAGTCCTCAATAATTATGTCTTTGATGACTTCATCCCAGCTCTGCCATTCATCCATCACTCATCATCAGTCATCTGTCCCTAGAATTTGATATTAGTGTACACTGAGACATTTTCCCTCGGAGGGATGAAGATTGAGCATTTCTCCAGCACAGGCTGCCTTGAACAATTCAGTTAAGAGAAAACTCTCAAGTTGCATTTTAAAACACACAGCATCTAGCTGGCATGATGGTTCAGCCAGTAAAGGCCCCTGCTAAATAACCCAGCCACCTGAGTTCGATCCCCAAGGCCCACACAAGGGAAGGCTGGGATCAACTCCCACAAGTTGTCCTCTGGACTCTACATGCTTACCATGGTAAATGTGTACCCACGCACCTATACATACAGACACGCACACACACACACACAAATGTAAAATACCTAACAAACATCATAGCATGAGAAATAAGAACCATTTCCTCCCCACTCTGCTGCTGACTTCCCTTTGATAGCCAGTGCTGTAAATGCCTTTGCTACATCTTGATTTTGGTCATTTTGGTTGCTAATGAGAGGATGGTGAGAGTCAGGGTACTCAGAGGAAAGAATGGCAGACAAGTACTCTCTAGGACCCTCAGATCCTGGATTTGATGGAATGGCATTGATAAAAGACCTTCCCAGCTTTTTTGACTCCATCCATTGGGAGAGATAGGCTGGAGACAGCCGGATCCAAACACAAGGAAAGGCTGCTGGCCAGTGGGGCCCTTTGACATTGCATGGGGCCTGGCTCCTGAGCTGGCTGGAGGGCAGACAGACAATGAGGGGAAGTCAGATAGCAGGGCCAGGCTGGGGCCAGGGGGGAAACCACCCACAGAGTTATCACTCCTAGGGAGTCCCAAACTGGAAGGAAGCCTCCCTGATTCGTTATCTCCTCACACCGTGGGGACTGATGATGAATTGCCTTGTGACCCCATTGGCTTCCCTGTCACCCGAAGCTCCCTTTGGGGGCTGGGAGTGTGGAAGGTGGCAAAGAGGGCAGAGGTTTCTGGGAAGACCTGAGACTGCAGAGTATAAACTGTGCTCCCATAGCCCACGCCCACTGGCTTCACTGGGGGTGCCAGGCCAGGCTTCTCACTAACTTAGAGACCTTGGGAACATTTCTCCATCTGTCTGAGCTCTAGTATCCAATCTGAAGAGGCTGAGGGGACACATTTTCACATTCTTATCTCCAGCCAGTCCCAAAGTCCTGGTTCCACTCACTTCTCCAGCTCTGAGCCACCATGGCAGGCCTCACAGCCCACAGTCACCTCTCAACAGGTGTCTGGTATCATTCCTGTCCCCTCCTATCACAGCAAAGTGATGCCGCTAAACACAACATCTAGCCACGACACTTGCAGGCTGCTGACCCCCTGATAGCCTCCCACTGGTGCTCAGATAACACTTGGGTCAGAGATGGGAATGGCTTAGGCGGCATGCAGCTGGCCCCGCCTTTCTCTCTAGTCTTCATTCTCCACTTTTTACCCTTTGCTCTGGGCACCCACATCCTCACCCACCCTTACCCTTCACCTAGACACCTCCCACTTCCCTGATCCCATGCCAAACCTGTATTTCCTTTGATATTCATTAGCACGTGTGTGTGTGTGTGTGTGTGTGTGTGTGTGTGTGTGTGTGTGTGTGGCGTTCATGTTTGCAGGTACGCGTGTGCATACCCTTGTCCATGGAGACCAGGGGACAGCCTGGGCTGTCCCTTCAGGTACTCAGCCATGCCTGTAGCAGACCAGGCACTTCCCATGTATTCTCTCATCTCATCCCCTCACCAAGCTAACTGGTAGGACTCACCCTGTTTCAGAGTTACTCAAAGCCCAGAAAGGAGAAATGATTTACCCCGGGCTACCCAGCTGCAAACTGACAGCAGTTGCAACCCTTTCTACAGCAGGCAGACCCCTACTTCAGCCCCGCTACATTGGTTCTGAGTGCGTCTAACCGAAGAGGTTGACTCTGGCATTTGCAGGCTCCCCACCACATCCGTGCAGAAGGCGTGGCTAAAGGCTCTGTTGTGACCATTGACCCTAAACGGGCTTTGATTCTTTTCAAACTTCTTCCTACTCTCTCTTTTCTTTTGGTCTGGCATTAATTTAATCGACAGAGCTCCCTAATGCAAACCTGCTGAGCTCTTTATCGCCATGTATGACCAAGTCTCCCGTGCAGTCTCCCTCCAGAGATGACATTTTGAAAGTGTGGTTGATGCTAACACTGACAAGAGAGTGTGGCGCTAAGAGACGCGGGATAGTGAGTGTGCAAGCCATGCTTAGCATCCAATTCCACCTTCATGAATGACTGGCCAACCAGGTGCGGTGGGGTTTGCCTACAATCTCACTACTTGGGAAGCTGAGGCAGATGACTGGGAGTTCAGAGCCAATCTGAGTCCGAGGCCATCCTGGGATTCACAGCGAGTTTCAGACCGGCCTGGGTTCTATAGAAAATTTGAGGTCAACCTGAGATATATGGTAAGACCCTGTCTTAGAATAAGAAGAAAAACCCACCAGCCCTTATAGTTTACCACCTGTAAAGAGAGTTCCCCGTACCTACATTGGGAAAAGACTTACTCAGGGGCCAAGACAACCAAGAACCCTCTCAGCCATGACACTAGGCAGGATGTTTGAACAGGAACCCCTCCTTGGATACTCTTTCCTTCTTTGAGGGCTGAGGAAACAGGCATGCTTGCCGCATCTGGTATCCAGCCCACCCAGCATTGGATGTGTGGAGAGCCAGGCTGGGGGTTGTTGGGGTGACATTGTTCAGGCCTTGGAAATCCAAGGAGTTGAACGGTTTGGGTCCATCTGGCAACACCCACCCCCCAGCCAAGGACCAACACCAGCGCATCTCTCCTTTCCAGATACAAGGATGGGGCATCCTGAACTAGTCTCGGGGAAGCCTGGCTCCTAAGAGTGCTGCTACAGTAGCCTTCCCAGTGGTGCCTGAGGACAACGACTTAACCAACGGGCCAGAGAAGATCACTGAACTTCTGCTGGTGCTGAACAAACACTGCTGGAGTGAGGGGCAGCAAGCCAGACTGTAACTTAGGTGTTCTAGAACAAAACAATTGCCGCTGACTGAGCCCACCCCGAGACAAGCACACAACATGCGCACAAGACTGTACCTTCACGCCAAACCCCCAAAGACGCATCCAACCAGGAGCCTGAAGTGCAGTATCATTTAAAAGAGGAGACCGAGGTGGGCTGCACCCCTGGTGTCTGACCCTGAAGAGCATGGGTTGAAGGTCACCCTGTCCCCTCTGTGTGACAGCAACCATCTCTTCACATCTTCCTGGGACTCAGTATCTACAGTGACTACATGCCACCTATTGGGGATAGCCACAGCCTGCTGGATGCTGACCAGGCCTCCAGTGCTCTGGGACACCTGTCCCCATTTACAAAGAGAGAAATCCAGAGAGGATAAGAACTCAGGAGGACTGCAAGTTCTAGCCCAGCCTCAGCTACAGAGCAAGCAAAACACAGAGAAACAAACAAATGTTCAGATAAGCTAAACGCAACCACACTGCGCGTATTAACCATGATGGCTCTGGCTCCCAGGAGGGGCTGATGGAGTTTCCTTTCTTGACACAGGCTCTTTGGCTTAGGAAAAAGTCATTGAGTTCTCACTTGATAAGGAAACTATGGCATGCCTGCATAGGTGTAAATAAAGTGCCAGGTGGAAATCAGCTGTGACTCTGTGTTTATGTGTGCGGTTAGGGTGTAAATGAGAGAGAGGGTGTGTGTGTGAAAGAGAGAAGGTGTGTGTGTGCTGTTTGTAAGGTACATGTTATGCATGTGTAATGTGTTGATGTGTGTCTCTGTGTGTATTTGTATGTATGCATGTAAGTGTATGTACATGTGTATATGTTATGTATGTGTGTATGTCTACGCATTTATATGTGTGCATGCATGTGCTACACACACACAAATGCACGTGTGTGCTTGTGTATGCGCACGTGGCCTTTATAAAGTCAATCTAGACATTTTCCATCTTCTTCAAGAGGAGGCTGAACAGAGAAACATACTAAATGAAACTTGCTTTTTCCTGCATGGTTCCAATCAGCTATCACTTCTGTTTCTGTATGATGATGATTATTATTATTATGTGTACTGTTATTTAAAAGGTAACAGTCATCAATGAATGTCATTGTGCACTCCACCCTAAGGAAGAATGCAGGAAGGAAGGAGGCACTAGCTGGCCTGTCACACTCACCTTTCCTCTTGGTGCAGTGGTAAATTTGGCTGTGCTCCTGGGCCAGTGGGTATGGGTTGGGCGGGGGCAGAAGGTCCTGGGAGGGGCCAGAGACACCATTCTCACACTGGTACTGGGACCCTAAATTGGATGAGGTGGAGAGAGCTCGGGTCTCACTGCTGAAGGGACTGTGGTTGGAGGCCACTTTGTGCCTCACTGTGCTCCTGGGAACCACGGGATACTCTTTACTGGAAGGAAGAAGAAGAAAAAAAAACATTATGTTCATCACTGTTCTGTTGTAGTCACCCCCTTGCTGAGCCACATGTCAAGGAATCCACTAGGAATGTCAACGGATGAGAAACTAAGGGGTCTTTGATGATCAAGATGGCCCAGTGACTCCTGGCAACCCATACCATGAATATATGTTCAGGCACACACTTTCCATGTCTTGTATATTTGGTGAATGGGTTTTAAAACAGCCAGGGGTACACCTGAGACCCTTCCCCAACATCAGGGCATTGGAACTACTTCAGTTCATCCACGTGCCTTTGAATTGTTCAATTCAAAAGCTGAGTGTGCTGCCTAGACATTTGGGCCTCACTTGTAAATATGTGTTTATTTTTTAAAAGGCGAATCTTTGCTCAAGTAAAGCAGACCACCCTGGACAGTTAAGTGCGGTCTTAGGTCTTTCTGCAATGGACAAATTGCTGATTGTAACTTTGAATTCCTTTTAAGTTGCCATCTTTGTCATACTGCTATACCTAACTGCTCTATGGCTTGGTTTTTCCCATCCATAAATTGGGGGCAATAAACATCCCTAGTTCACAGATAGGAAAGATGGCTTGGAAGAGGGTAAAGAATTTGTTGTGCTGGGTCTAGAGAGAGATGGCTCAGTGGTTAAGAGCACTGACTGCTCTTCTAAAGGACCCAGGTTCAATTCCCAGCACCCACATGACAGCTCACAACTGTTGATAAGTTCAGGGGATCTTACACCCTTATACAGACATACATGCAGGCAAAACCCCAATGGGCATTAAGTAAATAAGTAAATATTTTAAAAAGGACTTGCTACACAAGCTTAGCAATTTGGATTCTATCCCTGGAACCCAGGGTAAAGGTGTAAGGAGAGAACCAATTCCACAAAGCTGTGCTCTGAACTCCACACACATACCATGGCATGTGCATGCCCCAAATACATATCACATGGACATATGCATGGACACACACACCGATAATAATAATAATTAAACAAAGAATCCTCGAGAGCTAGAGAGATGGCTCAGTAGTTAAGTTCGGTTCCCAGCATCCATATTCAGCAGCTCACAACCACCTGTAATTCCAGTTCCAGGAGAGCCAATACCCTCTTGTGGAGTTTGTAGATGCCTGTACATATAATCCCCATCCCACACACATATATGCATAATTAAAATTAAGATTTTACATATATATTCATGAGACTATGAAAGTGCCCCACTTTAAAAAAAAATTCCCAGTTCAAAGGGCTGTTGAAGGAAGGGTTGAGAAGGACTCAATGAGTGCTTATCATTGTGGTTATTGTTTTAAGTAAAGAGAGGACAGATGGGAGGGGGAAGCGATGGGAAGAAGAAGAAATCACAGAAAGAGATGAAGCACAATGAAATTCAGGTCCCCCTCGCAACACCCACACACCCTGCTGAGCCTCAGCATCCACCCTGTGGCTTCCTGCTCAGCATCCTCCCAGGTTCTCAGAATCCAGTCCCTCCCAAGCTGAGGGCATCACTCAGTTGGTAGAGAGTACACAAAGCTCTGCATTTGATCTCCAACACCAAATAAACCTGGCATCGTAGATTGCATCTACAATCCCAACACTTGGGAGTTAGAGGCAGGAGGATTGGGAGTGCAAAATAAAACAATAGCAATGATGATAATTTGATAACTATCTCAGCATGATTAGTCTCCTTCCTAGCATGTGTGTTTTGTGACGTAAATCACAGTATCTTGAGAAACTTATAGGTTTCAACAGTCAGCCAGAGACCTCGGGCACTAGGAACATATTCAGATGCAAAACACATATGAACCAAAAAATCCCAAATGTCAGGACTTTTTTTTTTTTCTTGTCATAACCTGGAATCAAGTATTTCTTTAGGAATTTTTGAAGGTAATTTTTGATCCAAAATAGGTTTAGCCTCACTATGAAAAATAATTGCATGTGTGAAAGTATGTGCTTGGGGTACTAACTCAGCTTCTCTTATGCAGCTGAAAGAAATTGTGAAAATTAAAGTATGCATTTGGAATTGGAGGTGCATCTCAGAGGCACAGTACTCACCTGGCATGGCATGCATGAAGCTCAATTCCCAGGACCACCATACATACATACATACATATATGCATACATACATATATACATACATACATGCATACATAACTGGAGATGCAGCTCATTGGTTGAGTACTTGCCTAACAAGCTTGAGGCACTGAGTTCAGTTTTAAACACCACAATGTATTGATTAGTTAATTAATAAAAGACCAGGGATGTAGCTCAGTGGTAGGGTATTCATGTGGGTTGTACAAGACCCTGAGTTTTAACAACTGAACTACAAAAGCAATTAGAAATAAAATACAAAGCGTATACTCTACAATCTTAAGAGCAAGTCCCTCATGCACTAAAGGTACTGGAGAATGCCACAGGCATCAATCCATGGCACCCTTCTCATGAGCTGGGATGATGTTATGACCACTGTGCCCATTTTACAAATTAGGAAGCTGAAGCTCAGAGAGAAGAGACAACTTGCCCAAGGACCAAGAACTGGTTAAAAGATACAACCAGAATTCTAGCCCAACCACTACTACCCAAACACTTTTTTTCAATATCTAAAGCAGAGACCTGGGACCAAGGTCCACGCACTAGAGATATAGCCTTCTCTACTCTCTGCCCCGTCTCTGTCTGTTATGAAGAAATGTATCACAGTGGCCAGTCACAAGGGACATGAAGAGCCTGCCAAGTTTCCATGACACTACACACCCACCACGCATGACACCCAAGAGTCTCTTGGCTCTCCTTCCCCTGGGGGCTTGTGCCATCTCGGATCCTAGCTGGGGTCCTCCACACAGCCACCAATCAGCCAGGAAGCTAAACAGAATGGCATTAACTTGAGAGCTCTGGCTTTGTGGTTCAAGCCATGTAATGGAAAAACAAGAAGAATAAAAGAAAAGCATAATAATAAAACACTACCAAAGCCATCAATTCTCACCGGTAATCCTGCCTGGGTCTGCTGAGGTCAAGCGCTGGGCTGTCGGCACTCCAGGAGGAAGGGAGAAATCGTTTTGGGGTTTTATATGTTTAACGGGGATGGTTATTTTTTTTAATTAAAGAAAATAAGCCTCCAAAAATATTGGCTGAGGGAATTTACAAGGGAGCGTACCAGCGTGCCCTGTGGAATTCTCCCATCCAGCCTTGCCAAACTGCAGAATTACTCACCCCAAGAAAGGCCAAACCCTGTTTTATAAACGCTTCCAGAAGTGGGAAAGTGATATTATCCCCAATAACCGCGTGTCCCTCACAGCTTGCTTCCCTCTAAGGAGCCTCAAGCATCATCCCCAGCGTGTATCAAGAACATCTCGTTTAGTGCCTGAGATGCTGTGTCCCAAGGCCATCTGGCGGTGTCGGGCTGTGGGCAAGGGAAGGCAGGGTGCCTCCTCCATTCAGTGAGGTGAGAGACACACAGGGAAGGAAATGTCCAAAGTAAACCACAGCAGGTGGTCCCTACTGAGCTCTTCAGTAGACTGCTCAAAGGACCCATCAGTTCAGAGGAACTGTTTAGTATCATCATGGTGCCTGGGATGGGGAGGTAAGTTGTTTTCATCTGAAGCTTAAGGACACTCATGAAGAAGCCAGAGCATCACAGAATTAGAGTGAAGGTTGAAAGGGGTGTGTGTGTATTGCAGCCGTGGAGGGCCAGTTTTCACCATAATTACTACCACCACCATCACCATCATCAGCATCACTACCATCATTACCACATCACCACCATCACCATCACCACCATCACCATTACCACCATCACCATCATCACCATCTCCACCATGGTCCATACTAGTCTTTAAGTGCCTCCTCATCCACGTTTCAGCCACCAAACTGATTGTCATCATTGTCTTCCCTCATTTGGTTCTAGACCATTACTCCTTTTATGCAAATACTTAAGAGCTACCGTACAAATAAGAAAATTGAAGTTCAGGCAGTTGAAAAGAGCCAACAGAAGATTCATTCAAAGTCCGTTCTACTCCTAAACTCTTGGGAATAAACTTGGACAAGGTGATATGGAGGCATCTGATGTGTGGTAAGCATCGTTCTGCAAAGCAGGCCGATGACGACAGAGTTGGGGGCCGGCTACAGTGGGGCAGGATTGAGGTAACTGGGCAAGTTCCACTGGCCATGATACCCTGCTGCCCTTGCCATCCACCAGTCCCACCAGCCACACAACAGGCTCTGATCAGAGGCACCAGACACAAGCCAGACCTCGGATCCCTCAGCTCTCCCTGGGTGCCATAACCCAGAGAGCAGACCCTCCCTGACCCAGGCTCCCTGACATTCTGTTCCCCGCGAGCTAGAGTGAATGACGCCATTGTCACTGGGTCTGGGTTGTAAAACATTACAAGGAAATATTGAAACTGAGGACCAAACTGCACCATCAGCCTGCCGCCAGCTAATGAAGCCGGTCTCCACTGCACTGCCGCCCATTGAATCGGCCTTTTCACAAGAGCAGGTGGCAGGGAGCTGGTTGCTGGGGGGCTTTTGTTCAGTTTTGTTTTCTCTAGGAGATGCTTACCCTGTTTCTGGCAGCGTTTTTAAACAACCAAAGTGGGGTGAGGGCTGTAAAAATCCCCAACTTGTGGGGCAAATTCCCACTTTCGTCTGTGACCCAAATTAAAACAGACAGGGCAAATACAGCTCCTAGGGAGCTTCCCCGGTGTGTTCACCTTCTAGTCTATGTGAGTAGGGTGCTTTGATCTGACGTATGTGGGCACCAAGGGAAACCAGGAAGGCACACCTCAGGTGCAACATGCAGCTCAGCCCAGATAGCAAATAGACCTGCTTCTCTGCTCATGGCAGAAAGGCAGAGACCATCCCCCTGTGGAGAATAGGCACACATGCTTTATGGAAATTTCCCAGTAGGGCTGTGTGGTTTGAGAGGGACCAAGACTCCCAGTGATTCCTCCTCATACTTGGGGACAAACTTGCTTTGCAGCAATGGGGTCACGTGGCTCTATC